CAGAGAGAGAGAGAGAGAGAGAGAGAGAGAGAGAGAGAGAGAGAGAGAGTCCGAGCTGTTGAGACCTTGAGAGCCTCCTGCCAGGAGGGTTTGGGACAGGGTCTCTCGGGGTCGGGCTCATTGGGGTCAATTCTCCGGCGGAACAGCAGCAGTGCACAGTCCATGATACGCATGATGAGGTGCGGCGGCTTGCCCAGTTTCTTCACCGTAGAGATGTCCGACGGTTTGATGGTCTGATCGGATAACAGCATCGGTTGTCAGTTTTAGAAAAGGTTTTACGGCACTGGTACCACAATGTAGTCATATTATATGAGACAAATATTTGAGGCGTTACAAGAGAGCCACCTACCCAAAGAAAAGGAGTAGAGATGAATACAGACGATGGATGTTTAGTAGGTAAGAAGGAGCATCCCACACGACAGCTCTCACCAACTAACCACTAGCCCTCTACTGCCCCCAAAAACATAATGACAAGACCAGAATAACACTAACATTGTACACTATTGTTAGAAAGGCAATAAGAATGAAGAATTTGAAGTCAATTCAATACTTTAATAATATTATCATTAACTCAATTCCCATTTAAAAACAAAACAACCTTAACAACGATGACAGCAACTAGATTTTTAAAATGTAAACTAATCTGGTTCTACAGGCTTTTTTTTATAGTAGAGGGTTTTACGGCGCTTGCAACTGCATAAGGTCATATGAGCGCCAAGGGGTGGGTGTCAACAGAGAAGTCTTTACAGGGAATCAGACTTATTCTGCTCACCTCTCTTGCTTCAACAGCACATGGTCTGCTTCGATTAGCAAGGCACCCCAAAAATAGCAGATCACAAGAGAGTGACAAAAGAAGTAGAGGGGAAAAGACAATAGTAAGGATCAGGAAAGAAAAAGCAGCAGTTTCCTGTTGTAGGTCAGGCACACTTATGAGCGTGACATGAATCAGCCCATTTACATTTCTACTGAATTGAACGAGAAATGCCCCCTCCCCCCCTTTTTTGGGAATGGCCTAAAGACACTACAGTCAGTGGCACTACCCCGGGGGGGGGGGGGGGGCTACAAGCATTCACAATTCAAGGTTCAAACATAAACCAAGGAGCACTAGAGAGTTCATAAAGAAAAGAAGTTTTTAATTCTATTACAGAAAAGCGCAAGGACACAAATAATGGTCAATTTCTTTCCGGGAAATAGCAAGAAGTAGCGCCCTCCACCCGTCCACCAAAGAAAAGCAAATTGACACAACAATGATTCTATAGAGGTAGGGGAAAATATTGAACATTGATAGGTTTGGAAGTGGGAACTATATCAATGGCAACTTTTAACCACTCAAGATTATGAGAAAATAAAATGACATGAACAGTAAAAAAGAAGTTTGAGTATTGACTTGAACGAGGACGATCCGTCCACACATCAACTGCTCCTTTTTCTTGGTAGGGATTATATGAATCCATAACATTGGCATACAGAATATAACAACCCTTAGTCATAACAACAACAATAACAACAACACACACACACACACACACGCACACACACACACACACACACACACACACACACGAACACGCACGCACACGCGCGCACGCACACGCACGCACACATACATGTACACACCAACATACACACACACA